TACGTATACTACGTAATAACTACTACACACACACACACACACACACACACACACACACACACACACACACACACACACACACACACACACACACACACACACACACACACACACACACACACACACACACACACCTTCCTGCAAGCAAGAGCTGCATGCAAGCTGGCATTTTAGCATGAGTTAGACCTCTGCTCTGTGTGATATGTAAGCAGTAACACAGACTGCAGCTTCGACACTCAAACATTACACTTAACCATAAAAATATGCAGCATAATATTATAATATGACTCAATATTGTTTTAATACCTATTGCCCTCATGATGTGTGTTGCTAACAAATATGTTGTCAGCTATTCAATATTTGTTATCCCTTATCCCTATGAATGTCTGACATACTTACTGCTGAACAATTTAGTTAAAATAACTTATTGCAATTTATTTTGACTGATAATGCTAAATGATCTGTGAAATGAGGGTATGGCAATTTTTTTACATTATCCTTCAAAAAATGCATAGAAATGTTATTTATTGTACAGGATTTGTACCAAACCACAATACTTCATTCAGATATTTTCCCTTTACTAAATATTGCACTTCCTGCGATTTAAATGTTGTACTTGTTTATTTTGCGAATTCAATTATAGTTCCAAGAATTGTGCAGCCAAACATCAGAGTATTTCACCCTTTTGTCACTGTTGAAACCCACGAGCGTTAATCAGCTGCTTTACGATGACCCATGGATATCATGACTACAATCTTTCTTCTAGGTGAAAATATGTCTTTGCACTAGTGCCTGTCTTTTCCTCATCGACACACAACCAACAGACGACTTTTTAAATCTTTACAGCGCCATAAATTCACACCTCGTTCTGGTTCACAGGTCCAACACAGCCATCAAAGTCCTGAAACCTGGCACTGCTTCTGTCACGTTCCAAATACTGAGCCACACATCCCATTTAAATCACACAAACGAGACACGCGATAGCATGTGTGGAAGGAAGGGAGGAAGGGAGGAAGGGAGGAAGAGAATAGTGGAAACCATGAGTGAGGGGACGCTGCCTGGTGACCATACGTCCTCCATCCCACTCTAATAGACCCATTAGTCACAGAAACAGACCCAGAGTGATTATCAGCAATCAGGCTGCACAGAGACAGACCACTAAAGGGGGTGGGGGAGCAGGGGGAGGGTAAAAAGAGAGAATGGAAGATGAAAAAGTGGAATAAAAGAACATTAGCTAGAGACAGAGGGAATATTAAGAGAGAGATGGCAGATGGCAGGACATGGAAATAAATATGGAAGATGAGAGGAGAGGGTCCCCGAGCAGCTATTATCACACTGCACAAAAAGGTTAATTAGTCATTTAAAAAAAAATCAGCGATGCTGGACGTACTTCGGCCTCCCACAATGCATCAGACAAATCAAATGAAAGCGGCTGGAAGCTCGTATTTAAAGAAGGACAAAGCTAATAGGCTGCACAGCTAAAGACGCTCATTTGTCAACATCAGCATGGCAGGGCAATATAGATCTGTCTTTGACAAGATTGGGTGTGTATGTGAGTGTGTGTGTGTGTGTGTGTGTGCAATATGGCTATAGTTGCCATGGTTACAGTGAACGCAGCTCCGGGGTTGGTTCTCATTAAGGAGTTAATTACCTGCTGTGGAAATATTTTTCACCTTCGCCTGACAAGGCCGTCGTTAGGAGACGACTGAGGGGCAGAGAGCGCCACACTATTTAATAACAATATCACAATGAAGTGAAAGGGTTAAACTAGTGGAAAAACACCAAATTAAATGAGAAAAAGTTTTATTTTGCAAACAATCTTAACAACTTTGAGTTCTTGTTCTACGATTACATCTACTATGGAGTTTTGTGTAGATGATTTGGAGGTTTAGGGGGGCAACTGTTTACGAGAACTTAGTATATTTACTCAATTATTGCATTTAATAATCAATGATTTCAAGATACTTCTAATTTACTTGAATATTTTCATTTTCTGCCACTTGATACTCCTACTCCATTTTGAGGCAATTATTTTTTACCTTTTTTTACCTACCTTTACTGTTTTTGTTTATATTACGTACCATATTTACTAGAAATCTATAAAGTTGTACACAAAGTATCAAAACATTGCTCCAAATGTACAAATGAATAAGTACGAATACAAAAAAAATGTATTGATAGACACAGAATGTTATAATATTGTATAATGATACAACAATATTAAACAGCCAATCCCTAATAACTTTACATTTTTTGGTTCTTTAAGTATATTTTGGTTAACACTTCTGAACTTTTACTTAAAGTGGACTCATCATGCTATATTTGAATAATACAGTGTAGGGCCATACCTATACAAAACATGTCTGTGAAGTTGTTTTTTTCAAAATACCAAACAGATCATGCATCATGCCTCATTTCGCTCTATTTACTCTTTTCCAGCCCTGTTTTTGCAAGGACTGATTCTGTGACGTAGCTTTAATGCAAATGAGCTGCAGCTGACCACGCCCCCCAGCAGGAGAGGGGGGCGTGCCCAGAGATCAGCTGCTGGGCTCTCAGAAGAGGGGGAGGAAAAGAGAGGCTCCGTTTTTTATTCTTATATTATTATATAGAGTTGTTATTCATTTGTTTTAAAGCTCAATAAATAACAAAGAAGACCTTTGACCGGCACTTTTCAAATTTTGTCCGGAAGATTTTAACTTTAACGGACATGTTGACCGGCGAAAAAAAATCTAACTGAAACTCTGCCGCACGGTCCCCTCGTCCCTTGGAAGAGGCAGAGAGGTGGGTGTTTGTCATCTGCTGGTGGACTACCGGAGAGAATTACAGCAGGAGCAAACGCTTGCCTCGGGGAGGGAGAAAAAGAGCCAGAGCGTCCACAGCGGAGAATAAACAGAAGGGCAACCATGGCAACCATGCGTGGGAAGTCTTCTTCGCTGCTTTTGTGGCAGACAACAGCGCCACTTACAGGCTCGGCATATGTACTACAGCGTCTCCAGCGCTTTCGAGCGGTCTCGTGTGAACGGACACGTTTCTGGTGCCTGTTGCGTGTGGACGGACTTTTTTGATAACGATTGCGGTCCGTTTGCAGGTGGAGCGTTGCCCATGTAGGCGGAGCGTCACCGCCCACTATTCCGGGCTGACGTCAGCTCGGATGGAATCTGTATCTACTCCGTTGTAGCCCCGTTTTTAGAGATGTGGGTATGGAGGAAAAGAGAGAGGGTTGTATTCTCTGACACTGGGTGAGTTCCCCGACGCACCGGGGACACATATTTATGTATAAAAGACATCACAAAGTGCATTTTGCATGATAGGTCCCCTTTAAGGTATATTTTGAACTCAGGACTTTTACATGTATTACTATTACGAGCTAAGTTCTTTTTTCACCACTGTCACAATATTAAAGTAATGAAGCTCATTTTGTAACTTTTTAAAATACAGAAAGCGGAACACAAGATGCCTTTCTTTAAATGTAAGTACTGATGTTTATATCTTATTTCTGACTGCAATGATATTTTGAGCATGATGATGTTTGGGAATGTGTTTTTTGCCTCCAGGTAATGACTGTGAGTCGGGTGAAGAAGAGCTTTTCTTCTTCTATCGTGGTTGCTACCTGCTATAGAACAAAATCATTTCTCTTGCAGACGAATAAACGGAACAGAAGAGCAATTAAATTCACATTCGACCCATTTAAAGTAAAAAAACACCCATGAAGGTTAATTCTCCCTTAAATGACCTCAGCCTTCTTCTTCCTTTTACATTTAGTTAAGAGTGATGTGTCCCGTTTCAGGTCCTCTCAATAGATTTCTTAACTGTGAAATGTACAGCTTGTCCCTCATCATCGTGCTGCATCACGGTGAGGAAGTAACTATGCAGCGAATAATCACTGTAAACATGATCACAATAATAATGATGGTAATTGCCTCGCTGACGCTGCCAGCAGCTCTCTAAAGCCCTGTTTGTTTTCTGATCCCTCTTCACAGGAGTCATTTTGGTCTAATGGTCTGTTTAATCTCCCTCTTTCTCTCTTTCTCCCCCCTTCCTCTCTCTCCATCTCTGTTCCCTTCTTCTCTTTGTTTGAAATGGAGCGTGCTGCACACTAAATGGAGGTAATAGAGGCTCCATTTTGCAGCTAAGAGGGTAATTTACTAACTCTTTGAAAAACATAATTCTCAAAACGGCATAAAAGGAGCAATTGTCCCTTTGTTATGCCATTTACCTAATTTAATCTGCCTTTGCTGTTATTTTAACTCTTGTTAAATGGCTTTTTGCGGTTAAAAAAGTTCAGAAATGTGATTTCAAACAACTGAAACATTAACACCTCCAAACAATTACTGATAATGAAAGATGTAGGAATAAGAGGATGCCTTTCAATAATATTTTTGTATTTTACCGTGAACAAACAAACTTTTTTCAAATGATCCTTTTCCTAAATGGAATGATAAACATGTTGTAAGATAAGGATAAACACAAGTCTTTAAATTGTCAGATATGAATACTTTCCTTTTAGTTTAAGAACCAACGAAAAAAATGTCCACGTTTAAATCAAACAACTCAGAAACCAACAGTATTTTGACAAACTGAATATTATTATTTTTTCTACTTGTAATAATTTATATTTATCGTCAGAACAAGAAGCTTACCGGCTTCTGAGTATAAATGAGCCCCAATTAAAGCCGTATCTGTGAGCCCTGGTTAAACCCTCCTCACTAATGAACGGTGGTAACACGTTTTAAAACCTGGATGATATTCATGCATTAGGACATTTGTCAGAAAGCTCATTGCCTGTAAAGAGCAATAATGTTTATCTTCCATGCACCTGCCTAACACCTAGCGCCTGGTTAGGTAATTGATCATTTATCACGTACAGCAAAGGACTGATTGACGTGTGAAGTGACCTTGTAATTAGAAGTCAAGGCTAGATTTAATCAACAAGGCTCAATATAAATCATCTTCTGGTGATGTTGAGTGGATACAAAAACAATTATTAAATTAAATGAAAGGATCATGCACTTTATTATTGAGGTGGTATGTTTGTGTGGGACTAAGAACACATGGATAATGAATGATACACATTGCACTGTGAGGCTGTATCGCTGATACACATCAAAATCTGCGGGATTGTTGTGTAAAATGTAGCATTTAAAAAACCGTTTAGTCTTTATGATATATCCACTTTGACTGCCAACCCTGTTATAAACAGCGGATATAAGAACAAGCATTCCAAAGCTTTCAGAAATATCTCGTTTTCCCCCTCTTTATTAGCTGTAGTTGCCACCTGCATGAGGATATACTTCTGGGGCGACATTCTGGCTAACTAAATTAGCTGAAGACGTGGTTTTACTTTAGTCTGCGTTTCCCATGTTTTTACAGATTTGGCGTCACCAACAGTTGGTCATGATGAGCCCCATTTGTCCTGAGAGTGGTGCCAAAGTAGTTTAACAAAAAAAAACGTGTTTAATATGTGAATAGTGTCCATTTTTACTAAGCCTGTCTCAAATGTAAACTCTTACAATTGACTTAATGGTAATCTTCTAAAACAGACTCAGGCCACATCGGCTCAGCTTTTTTTGGAGCTTGAGTCTGATGTGGAATATATGTTGGCATATATGTTGTTAATGCAACCATTTGCATGCTAAAAGCCTAATGCTGCTAGCAAGCCTAGAAAATAACTTCACTTTGTTGTTTTCAATCTTTAAGTGAACAATTGTCATCTTGTGAGAGAAAGACTCGCAGTGAAGAGAATAGTTTGTGTGATTTATATTTTTTGGTTTGGATAGCTTTTCTAAAAGGCAGAGAGATAGAAACCACTGGTGTAATTAAGCATTTAGACTTAATTACAGAAAGAATAATTGAATGGCTGAATTAATTAAAACCACCAATGTGCAAGATTTATTAGTTGGTTTTTAATTGTCTTTATTTGACTTTTAGGCAATCCATTTGGTCTGACTCTACCTAATGAAACTGAGACTTGTGCTGTGATGTTAAAGCCCGGTTTCCAGAAAGGACTTTTGAACATTCTGCTGACACACGGCATCTCTTCAGAGGCGTTGGAGCGCAGCTACAGGACGACTGACAGACTGGCAGGCCGCTCTCTGTTTTTTTCCCCCAGGAGGAAACTTGTCCCTAAGTCAAATTAGATCCGCTGACATCTCCTCGGCTCTGCCTTCTTCTCGCGGTGTGTGTGGCTGAGCCTGCCGAACATCTGAAGCCTCAGATGACGAGTCGTGGGAACTGTGGAGGAAACTGTGGAGGAAACTGTGCCACGCTCCGTCACAGATGGCACCGCCAAACGCTTCTGAGAACATCATGCTCTGCCGAGGAAGCGTCAAATTGAATTTGTCGGAGGAAAACAGGTGTGCTGAGTTAGGTGCTGTCGTTTTAATGTGGCTCTCTGTCTCACACACACGCACACTGAGACACTTGTCAGCACACACCTATACACACACCCAAGAGTTAAGTCAGCCTTTTAAATATTTCAAGAACTATCCGTAAAAGAAACACTTGGCATCCATTTTTTTTAACCCAAAGTTCCTGCACCTTATGTTTACCAACAACACATAACACCTCAGTATATTTGCTACAATTTTAAATACGAATTGCAGCAATGAGGGCCTTATAATAATCAATAATCTGGTCTGTATGATCACATTTTAGTCACCTACACCTCTTGGTTTCCCTGATCAAGGTTTTTTCTAAAAGCCAGTGAAAAGTAATTGTTGGTCCTGTCAGTAGGGAAGCCTTTTAAAGAATGTCTTAGTCGTCTAACACTTACTACGATTTTGTCAACAAATCCATTGTTCATTTAATCAACAGATCTGTTTAACTAAACAAAAACAACAATCATACAGTAGCACGTTTCCTATAA